TCAAATCCCATTTAGAATATAGTTTGAGAAATGCATACTTTGTGAAAACTCAAATGATGACTGAATGAATGCTCATGCAGTAGACCTATAAATAACAAAACTTAACTTCCTTTATCTGAAAAGATAGAAAGCCATTAGAAATTTTTATTTAGGGGCGCCTGGGTGGCTCAGTCGTTAAGCGTCTGCCTTCGGCTCAGGTCGTGATCCCAGGACCCTGGGATCGAGCCCCACATTGGGCTCCCTGCTCCGCGGGGAAGCCTGCTTCTCCCTCTCCTACTCCCCCTGCTTGTGTTCCCTCTCTCGCTATGTCTCTCTCTGTCAAATAAATAAATAAAATCTTTAGGAAAAAAAAAAAGAAATTATTATTTATTCCATAAGATCTCCTAACAACAGGGAGAAGTGAATTTGTCTTTTCTGTCATAGGTCATCACCTGATGCATTTTTGCCTGAACCCATGTAGTGTGTTTGGGCACACGTGTACATGTTCCCGTAAGATTGGCAGGGCTCTTTGCCCATTAGTGATCGTTGGTGTTCCTCAAAGCCCAACAGAACTAAAAACTACTATCTGAAAATGCATGTAGAAGCATGTTAGTAGCTTACTGGTTCTTAAGATACTTATTTTCAAATTAAATACAGATTTCAAATTTAATTTCAGCTTTTTGAATGCATACATTTTTATATTGCTTTTACTTTGTGATTTAAATGGATTTTTCCAGATGCCACGTCAGATACTTTTATTTTAAGTGTCCTTACTAAGAACAAAGTGTTTCCCTTGGCATAACGTGGCATAGTGTAAAGATTAAAGGTTCTGGAGCCACATTACTTGTGTTCAAATCCTATGACTGAATAATTCTATGACCTTGGCCAGGGCACTTAACTTCTCTGTGCCTCAGTTTCCTCATCTAAAATGGGAGCATTAATAAGTACTTTATAGGGTTATTATAATGACAGAATGAACTAATACCTGAAAAACACTGAAAACAGGGCCTGTCACATAGTGATTTACCAGCAAATGTTTGTGATGCTGATAATGAAGATAATGGTGTTGATCAATGACCAGTTGAGCTGTTGGAGATCACAGTAACGGGCTGCTGAGACATAGGAGAAAGAATGACCAGAAATAGGATCTTGGCAGGAAGGGAAAGAGACTTTGGGTTTAAAAACATAGTGGAATTGTTGACACATTAGCTTCACCAGTGTGTGTTGTCTTCTGTCATGTTGTAAATAGTGGTATTTAGCTGTTTGATTTCAGAGCTAGAGAGAAGGCGCCTGGAAGCTACTGCAGATTAGGAGGATGAGGAAGGCCTCTCTCAGGCAGAGATATTTGAGCTGAAGCTTGATGACAAGAAGGTTGGAACCAGGTTATAAAAAAGCCTTATACATTATGTGAAGGACTTTGGACATTCCCTTGAAGCATGAGGAAACCATTGGTAGTTTTTAAGCAAGGATGTAATATGATTGATTATACTTGTATCAGAGTGGTGATTCTGTGTGGAGGACAAATTGGACTATGATGAGGTGGGAATTTTAAAGACTAATAGTCGGGGCGCATATGCCTTCAGTTCAGGTCATGATCCCAGCGTCCTGGGATCGAGCCCCGCATTGGGCTCCCTGCTCTGCAGGAAGCCTGCTTCTCCCTCTCCCACTCCCCCTGCTTATGTTCCCTCTCGCTGTGTCTGTCAAATAAATAAAATCTTCAAAAAAAAAAAAAAAAGACAGTCTAAGAGGAATCAAGGACAAGGGAATAGAGCTGGAGACCTTTCTGAACTCTAGTGCTGCCCTTCAGATGGTATTGACTGGAAGTGTGAAACAAAGAATACATTACAGAGGGTCTTTAATACATTTTTAGCCCTGCTTGCCCCTGAGCCACATACATACAGTTTTTTCTGATTCCAATACAGTCTGTAGCCCATGAACCCATTGCCTGTCCTCCCCACCATTGCCTGTTTTTTATAAAGTTTTATTGGAACATAGACATATTCATTTATGTATTTCTGTGGCTGATTTCACTTTACAGTGGCATAGTTTAGTAGTTGCAAGAGAAGCTGAAAATGAGCCTGAAATATTTACTATCTGGCCCTTTACAGAAAATGTTTGCCAATCCCTGGTCTAAACTAGCAATTCTTGCTAGTAGGAGGGAGGGATAGACTTATAATAGTTTCTAAGTAGTATCTTTGGAAAAATTGCGTTACTGGTAAATGACTGAAACTTTTCCCTAACTAGAATTGTCTTCACTAATTGTTACTTTTCAGTAATTATCCAAGAAGAGGAAGGTATAATTAATCAGCTTTGGAATTGCCAATCTGAATGAACTGCTTGGTTGTTGGGAGTAGTGTTAAAATGATAAAGGGCTTAAAATACTGGCTTTGCTGACCTAGGTGCAGAAGTATACCTAGAACCAGTGAAGCTGGAGAACTCTATAGCTCTTTGTCTTTTAACAAAAAAAGGAAAGAAAAAACCGAAGGCAATATAAAGATGAGATTTAGGTTTAAGGAAATTAGAAGGCTAATGTGGCAATAAATTGCAGGCCTTGAGGCCAGATAATCCTGTGAAGGGAAGGGTTCAGGGATATTAGGGATACACAGGTAGAGCCCAAGATGCACCAGACTACATACCATTGTATTTAGGACCTATCCCCTCCAGGTTTTTTTTTTTTTTTTTTTTAAAGATTTTGTTTATTTATTTATTGGAGAGCAAGCGAGAGAGAAACAGCATGAGAGAGGAGAGGGTCAGAGGGAGAAGCAGGCTCCCCGCTGAGCCGGGAGCCCGATGTGGGACTCGATCCCAGGACCCTGGGATCATGACCTGAGCCGAAGGCAGTCGCTTAACCAACTGAGCCACCCAGGCGCCCCTCCCCTCCAGGTTTTTACTTCAAGAATATTTTTCTGGTGGTTGGTGTATTGAGTGGCTGAGAGGATGGTGGAAGTTTGTGTGAATTGCATCAGTAGGATTTCTGTGTCTGGCTGTTGAACTGATGACCAAGCAGATGGAATATTGGTTTCCTTTCTTTGTTTTGTTTGTTCAGGAACTACAGCCGAAAAACCCTCTTTAGGCTAACTTGGGTGAGAAGTGTGCAGGACTGTGTGCACGCTTGTGTATGTGTATATCCTCAGTTTTTAAAACTTTTCTCTCCTCCAGGTTATCCTACCTACAAAGAAAAAGTAAAGAAAAGGCCTGGGGGCCGCCCAGAAGTGATTTACAACTATGTCCAAAGACCCTTTATTCGAATGTCTTGGGAGAAGGAAGAAGGAAAGAGTCGGCACGTAGACTTTCAGTGTGTAAAGAGTAAATCTATCACCAATCTTGCAGCAGCTGCCGCAGACATTCCCCAGGACCAGTTGGTAGTCATGCACCCAACTCCACAAGTGGATGAGCTGGATATTCTCCCTATCCATCCCCCTTCTGGCAACAATGACCTCGATCCTGATGCACAGAATCCAATGCTGTGATGCTGATGTTCCTTGAAACCATAGCATGCTACTCTTCACGGTGACGCTGCACTCTCCACATTCTGCACTGCAAGGCCGCTCTCTTCATCGTGAGATGCACATGCCAATGTTTAGGATATTGCAGTGTAGGCTTTTTTAAAGACCAAAGGTAGCTGAATGGTTTTTTTAAATGAGTACAACTCTAGCATCCTGAGGTTCCAGTTATATAAATGTATTTGTTTACCAGTAGGTTTGTGAAATTGGTTCTTTGTATGGGGGAACAGTCCTTTTTCACACATCTCGATATTTTCAGAAGTGGTGAAAATTGGCACCTGGGGTATTTTCAGCTTAGATTGATATTCATCACACCCCAGATAAAATGTAGAATATTATATAGTTGCACTTTATAAATGGTTAAATGGAACTGTTCAAGCCATTTTTATAGTTGTGATGCACAATATAACTGAAATAAGTGCTTCTATCAAAGTATTCCTTCAGTAAAATGTGTATAGTCTGCTGCCTATGATGGGCAAAAAAGGAGTATTTATCATTGGGCTGATTTGAATGATTTGGAGGAGACCCAATGCCCGTATCTTATTTCTCTCCAATGCTGTTTTTGCCCTTTTAGAGTGAGTCACATGCAGGAAGTGTGAACATCAGAGGTGGTTTATTATCCAGTCTGCCTTACCCTTAATCTGTTCAGATATTTATTTACTAATTTTTTTTCCTTAAGAGTTATGGGATAGGAAAATGAAGTGTTTGCTCTTCATTTACTAAATGATTGTAAACTCGTTTTTCATCAAAATAAAATTCCACTGTTTTAATGTTTCTGATCAACTTTATAGACACCTTGACCAGATCCTTAGTCTCATAATTAGATTTCCTGTCTTGCTGGCATCCATATAAGTAGAAACCACCGAGTAGCTCATGGAACTCCCGATTTGGTTTGTGTGTGATGAAGCACTTAGATTCCCTAGAAATCCACAGCAGTGTCTGACTGAAAAAAGAACATTTTCTAGTCAAACCTAAGAAGAAGGGTGAAATAACTTTACTAGGTTATAGGATAACCTTAAGTGTCAGAACCAATTTCTGACACTGGTTCGGTGTTTTGTCCGTCATACTGTGCTGCTTTTCTAAGCAAACTATTAGTGCAAGTGCTTTTTAAAAAAATACTCTGTGGCCCAACTCAAGAAGGAAGTGGATGGAAGTACTTAGGTGCTTTGGGTCCAGGGTCACTTAATGTGTGAAGCCACACAACCGTGGGCGTAGAGGAGTTGTAGGAAAGCAGCCCATTTGTTACAACTAATCTTGAATTTGTAATTTCATAGGATTTGAAATTTGTGTTTAAGCAGTAACATCACTGTACTCACATAAAATTGCAATAATTTGGATAACTATTTTAACAGTACAGCTAAGCTAACAGGGAAATTTTGTTAAGTCCTGGAATGATTATCAAAGGCCAGAAAGGCACTGTAAATGTTACTGGCATGGATTGTCCTGAAATAGCCACGGTAGAAAACTGATCCAGCCCTGCAGCACAGGGATTTTTTTCTATTTGAAATGTGAACAGTATTTATAGAACAAGGGAAACATTTATTAAAAATATTTAACTGTCTAATACATTATACTTTAACCCATATTTATAGTAAAGGATTCTTACAAGGAAGAATAAACGGCTTTATGATACAGTTAGTATAAGAAATATCCACATGGGGGACTTCTTTGTAGTGTAAAAACACCATACATCTGAAATGACCATTTGCATATAAAAGCTACCAATGATGCTTCTGTGCACGATGATTAAAAAATTCAACACAAACAGAATCCAAAATATACAATTAATGCAAGCTATCCACAGCTAGCCCAATAATCAATGATGAGGAAACACTGGAGCAGGCTTAGTTCCACTTTGTCTGAAGTTACACATAGTAAGATTGACTTGTATCAATGGCTCTGAGATGGCTCTTATGAGGACAGTACATAAAAGCTGTTCTCTCTTTATCCAGTAAGCTTCACAGACTGTAAAACTCCACCAGTAATGCACTTTGATACTGTAGCTGTTGCCAAAGCAACATGTAGTGTTTACAGCGGCCATGGCAAGTCGCTGAAGTCAACAGGACCACCCAGCCCAGCATCTGCTTCCAAGAGACTCATTATGACAGCCATCGCTGCTTCGTCATTACTGGGACTGCTTGAGCCTTGGTCGTTTTCTATCATGTCTATGCCTATGTGAGGATTCTCACCTGTAGGGGGAGATAAAGACCGGTCGGTCATAATACCAGAGCATGTTTAACTTTAGTAAGCAGTTCCTAAGCACACTTTTAATAAGTACAATGTTCTTAACAGGAAGGTGGGAATGGCGGAAGAGAATGCTTTTGGAGCTGCACTGCCATAATATATTTTCTTTAGAAACAAAGCGCTGAAAATGCAATAAAGATTAAAAGCATTTGAGTTGACCTCATTTTGATATTCTGACATAACCAGTTACAAGGAGGGAGATACGAAAGGAAAGAAACAGGAAAGTAGGGATTAGGGGGGGAAAAAAATCCAGAAAGACAAATAGCAAAAAAGATGGGTGAGATGGGAGAAGCAAACTCTACCACTTTTAATACCCGCTGAAATACTTACTGATCATCCTTCCAGGCTTCATCTCTGAACCTTCATCACCTCTCCCAATGAAGAGCTGACGGCCCAGGTGGGGGGAAGAGCCTGTATGTATCTAGGCTGCTGGAGTCTCCTTTTGAGCTCCAGTGACAAACCTGGAGGCTCCCTCCTCCCCCCGAACTCAACCATTAAACTCAACTTTGAAGATTTAAACCGATTTTAAACCTTTAAACTTAGTTTTTATCAAATTTATCTAGAACTAGCTTGTTTTACTCATTCAGTTTTTTTTTTTAATCAGAGAGAGAATGGGAGACAGAGAGCATGAGAGGGGGAGGGTCAGAGGGAGACGCAGACTCCCCGCCGAGCAGGGAGCCCGATGCGGGACTCGATCCCGGGACTCCAGGATCATGACCTGAGCCGAAGGCAGTCGCTTAACCAACTGAGCCACCCAGGCGCCCCAACTCATTCAGTTCTTAAAACTAACTTTATGCCAGATGTTGTGCAAGCTCATTGTAGTGGAAAGGAGTAATAATGCTACTTACCAAGAATAGAGGAACTATCAGAATATGGATAACCTGGGTTTTCCTGAGCCTGCCCTGGAAGTAGGCCACTAGAAGGAATGTCTGGAGTCCCTCCATTTAAAATCTACAAACAAAAGTGAAGATTTCATATCAAGAGTTTCAACCAGTACTGTACTCAAGATCATCAAGAAAATGAAGCATGTTGGAAAGGTAGGGGGAAAGTGTTCAGTTTCCTATTGGAGGATTTCAAACAAGAAACTGTTAGTAATGGTCACAGTAAGAAAAACCTCTTCCCAAAGTATTTTCTCGGTATAATTCAACCCACACAGGCACTTTAAAGGCTGAATGAAATCCCTAGAGCATTCGATTATCTTGGATCACCTTATTCACATGATTAAGGCCAAGGACTAAATTACCTTGGTGAGCTGATTAGATTTCAGGAGAGGCAGTGATTTCAGATCTTGCCAGTAGGTGGCATTACAAATTTATTTTCCCAATCCAGCTTTTTGGTAGGGAAACCTTTAAGAATTGAGAACTCCAAAGAACTTTTGCTTACATGTATTTATCAATATTTACTATATTTGAAGTTAAAACTAATAAATTTTTAAAATCTAATAAACTTATTAGATGTTAACATGAATAGCATTTTAATGAAAAATAGCTTTTCTAAAATAGCAAAAAGAAATGTCATTTTAAAAAAATTTTTTTGTAAACCAAATGTCTGCCTTAATAGGATTTAACAGGATTCTCATTTTCTTCAGTCTATTTAGATGTCTGATTGAAGTATATGAAGGAAATCAGGTATGTAGTTGGGAAAGGGAGGTCCTATTTAATAGCTTTTTCCAATAACTTTGGTAGTCTTTGATACTACATCAAAACTCAACAAGTGAAGTTTCTTAAAGATTAGGTGCAGTGTGGAATCGGAAACCGTATCAATGAAATTCTTGTACTCTATTATATAAAAACCCATTGGTATACATTTGCATGATTTTGAAGTATCTTGCTGCATTGGTTATTTGGAAAACACTTGGCTGATGTTGACACATTTCATTTATTATAACGCAAAACATCCCCATTGTTAAAAGGTATTTCTGATGATGAGGTAATAGTAAGTTTTGGGAAGCTGTTGAGTTCAAAGTAGCAGATACAAGTTTTCCAAAAACTCATTTTTGCTTGAAAGCCAAGTTTTATCATGGGCAACAAATACTGTCAGCTGTCTTCCTTGAACTCACCAGTTCATTCATTTAAATGTATGCTAAATACCCAAGTCTGAACAAGCGTAGTTTGCAATAGTAACAATGGTGTCCCTTGACAAGAGCAGTTCCTTTAGCTCATAACTTAGCACGCGGGTACTTTTCCCTGAGACGACGGACCATTGTACTTCAGTATGCAGCACAAGTGCTTTACGCATACTTCCCATTTTGTAACAGTGTTAAAAAGGTTTACTCAAGGATTTTATAAACTCTTTTTACTGCTTATTAAGGATATCCTTAAATGAAACTGGCTTGATTTTTTTTTTTTTATTGTGAGTATATGGTGGTGAAGACTACACGGACTACTAGTCCTGGTTGGTGCCACTGCCATGATTTTTGCCAAAGCACCAGTTTTACCCAATGCTGCTTTTTGCACTATTAGTTCATGTATCAACACAGTGAGAGGAAAAAAAAAGTTTTCGATTATGAAAATAATTTTGACCTTGCAGATCCCTGAAAGGATCTTGCCTCCCGCAGCACCAGGGAGCTGCTGCTTTAACTGAACCTGCCTTAGTGCCTCTGGATGTCCAGACTCCTGGAACCTAGGAGGTGCACTCAGAGCCTCACTTTTTTAGCTTGACCCTGAATGAAATAACGGTCAAGCTAAATGGCTCATTTTTGGACCTGCTCAATTTAAAAGTGACTGGGAAGGGCCGGAAGCATGGTGCCACCTTTACTCTCCTGGCTTTGGTACAATCTGCTGTCCTTTCTAACTCTCGTCTTGTTTAAGCTACTCTTACAAGTCCTGTTGCTGAGGGTCAGGATGTATTCAGAAATTTTTTCTGCCAGATCCATTTTTGTAAGCCCAAAGAAAAAAGTTTTTCCATTAATGCCTCAACAGTACTTGGGGTTTTGTGACGTAGAGTACAGTGGAAAGAATCAAAAGTCAAGAGACCTGACTTTAAGTTTGGGGCTATACTTGTTAAATGATTAGCCCAGCATTTAATATTTGCGAGCTTAGATTTTGCCACCTATAAAGTTGTGAGGCTAAGATGAGAAAATGTACACAGAAGTTCCCTGAGTAATATTTAAGCACTAAATTGGCGTGATCACCTTTCAAAACAGGGTAGTGGGATTCTTGGTAATACCAGGAAGTCAAGTGCCTAAAAGTTGAAGTGAGAAGCAGAGAAAGGGATACCACCCCAAGGAGATGGTGGATCCAATATGGAGGAAGGACCTAGGGATGTAACAGGAGAACAGGCCTAAGAGAAAAACCTGTAAACAGGGATTGGGATGTACCAAGCCTAGGCTTTATCTGTTGGTGCTATCTTCTGAGTCATTACCAAAAGCCAGGCACTTTCACATATATTACCTCATAACAGGACTTCATATACAAAGATGCTGAGTGTCCTAACCTATAGGAGCCCTGTTATAAAACAAAAGTAGGGCTAAATAATTATACAGGGCCACACAGCTAGCACATGGCAAGGCCAGGCTTCACGACCAGGTCTGTCTTTCACTGATCACTCTTACCCATTAATTTATTGACTTTGAAACCTTTGGTGGGGGTAGAATCAAAACTTCTTTTCAAACAGAAATTTTTACAGCAGATTCCTGTATAAAATAAAGCCACCCTGTAGAAGCAGGAGTCCTTGCCCTCTACTCACTAACCACCCTTGCCCCGTCCTACCTGGTAGCACCACAGCTCCTGGTAACCTGAGCCTCAGAGGAATGCAGTTCGGAAAACCCATATCCTGCTTTTGATACAATTTGTGTTCTAGGAGTCCTGTCTGTGTAAATTACAATATTCTTTCTCTCTGTATGTTTTGGGAGGTAGGGGAAGGAAGACTATGTCCAAAGATTTCTGGCTCATCCTAACCTGTATTACCATCAGGCACTACAGATTTATGATTTGCAGTTAACATGGCTCTACACTTGTAAATTCTCTGGCAAAGATGAAAACAGATGAGTGGTTTCTAAGCTTATTGATAGTGTCATCTTCTAGCCAACTCTTCATGAGCGCTGGCGACTGATACAGTACTTGTACCCAGTGCTGTCCTATCACAGGAAACCCAGGCAGCAGAGCCCCCACGTAGTCTGCAGCTGCGAAGGCACAGCTTGCCTTCCAAAGCACCAAAGTGCTCCTGCTTAGTATTACCGTTTCCCGTGCCTGCACTAGAGACTAGTGATATTTTCTCCCTTGAAAATTCTTGGCAGTGAACTAGATAATTTTTTTCTGTGAGGTACTCACTAATCCTTCCTTCATGGGAGCTCTTGAATTGTTCCCTCAATGCAGTGGCCTCCCCATTCCTTAGAACATTCTTTCTGCCTTCCCCTATTCACATGGAATAAATCCACTAAGGATATCAGCAACCTCTCTAGCTCCACCCAAATGCCTTATACCTAAACTCACACAGATGCCTTTATTTAAAAGAGGGTCCAACTTGTTTCAGCAACCACAATGATAATCACATACTCCCACCCCCAACATTTCAGAACTTGGGCGAGAGGCTCTCCGGATTAAGAAGGACCTTAGTCGAAGAGTCATCAGCCTTACCTTCTTGCCTCCTGGAGAAGAGGCATCAGGGGGAGGTGTACTTGTGATGTTTAATGGGCTGGAGCCACAACTGGAAGGTGAGGACCCTCTTATTCTGTCAGAGAAAAGAGGAGTTAGTTATATTGCCTTTCCTTTTCTTCAGTGGGGTGTCAGGGGTGGGGGGTGGGAACGAAGAAGGATGAAGAACTAGAATAGGGATTGGCAAACTTTTTCTGTAAAGGGCCAAACAGTAACTGCCTAGGCTCTGTAGGCCAGAAGGTCTTGATCCCAACTACTCAACTCTGCCACTGTAGCTTGAAAGCGGCCATAGATAATATGGAAATGAATGGGTGTAGCTGTGTTCCAATAAAATTATGTTTACAAAAACAGGCGAGAAGCTGTTACTTATCCCACAGGCACGTGATCTAGACTGCAGTCCCTGGAGTCCAGCATCTCACTGACAAAGCCTTAGTTTAGAGTTTGGGTTTCAGGTTGTTGAGTTTCAAGTAAGTGGCCAGTTTCATTTCTTATAGAATCTAGATCTCAGAGTTGGAGGGGACTTGAGAAGTTCAATCTCTATCTTTGATACCATAAGCTAGAAACCACAGCAAGTGATTTATCCTCTTCCCTACAAACACTTTTCAGCTAGCGAATACTCTCAGGAAATGGAAGGTGCTGGGGTGGCTCAGCTACACCTAGAAAGCAGCCTTGCAGTAGGAGGAGTAGAAGGATGAGGAGGAGGGGTAGGAGTAGGGCAACTGTTCCCACCGCCTTCAAAAGCAACAGGTGATGAACAGGGGTTCCAGGCCCTCTCAGCTGGTAGGTTTCTCCTCATAGGAGATTAACAGAGAGAAAGTCTTAGAACTGTAAACCCACACACACGCTCGTCAGGCTGAGGGAGCTCAGGAAAGGAAGGAACGGCCTGGCGGGGAAGCCTGCGTACGGTGGCAGCTGTGTGACCACCAGGCCCTTAGCGTCTACAGGGACGAATGCAGCTTCCGGGTTACCCAGGCAGCCCGCTCCCAAGTGCTCAGCAGTCCTCTGGCCATTGGCCTGCGCCGCCTGGTTCTGTAGACTTGGGAGTGAATAAGCTTTCTCCAGGATCATAAGCTCCTCAAAGGCAGGATACAACTATATGCCATGCACTCTCAGCACACACAGATGGGTACTAATCACTTACTAAATTGCTGAATGTCTCCCATCTTCCTTTACTTATGTCTAGGAAACCACTATTTTCCTGGGTTCCCCATCTTGGCATTGCCTTTTCATTGTTATTTCATCTTCTAGTCCTTAAATTACTGATTTTTCTTTGGGACAGTATCATCACTGAGGGATGGGCCTCATTCCTGGGTTATTAAGCATGTTCACCTTCATCTCTTCCTATTCCAATCCAACTTCCATATGCTTATTAGCATTAACATAAGTTATTATTAACAACATTTTGGACATCCATTCAGCATCCTACAATGAATGGGGTCTTACAATTTTTTTCCTGTCTAAACTTCAGCATTTTTTTTATTAGGATTCTTAGCAATCTCCCTTCCTTGCTTCAGCTCACACACACTCCCTTTTTTCTATTTTCATAAAGAAAATAGACTTCTCAACCATTGTAAGATCCTTGAGGTCAAGGACTGTTTTACACTGTTCTTGGATGGTTTCAAGCAAGGCACAGAGTATATCCATAGTGGCCAGTAAGAATCTGATTATCACTGCACTCTGCCCTGACATCTTCCTGAAGCAGACCCAAGGGGTCATAGCCACCATTCCCACAGGGTTGGAACAGAACTGTCCTGCCCACTGGGATAAGAGCCCCTCTATGGCCAACTAGAAAACAAGACCAGCCTTTAATTCTCCTGAGAGAATCAATCCAGTGGCAGCAGGGAATAATTTTTCCCTTCTCTTATTATGTTCCATTCAGCGTGCATTCCTAAGGGCCTGGTTACTACCCTCTCCATCCCCCAAATTCAGATGAACATGTAACTGCTTCCCTCTTAATCACTACTCTTAAAGACTCAGATTTAAACAACAATTTTTGGGCACTCACCATATGTCAGTTTCTGTTCTAGAAACGTTCCTGAGACCTCTCACACTCCTAAAGCAATCCTTGAGAGATAGTTATTACCCGCCTTTTATGGCTTAACTCAACAGAGACCAGAAGTTAAGTGAATCTCTTAAGCACAGTCAAGTAGAGGCCCAGAACTCTAACCCAAGTAAACTACTTCCCCTCTCTTTCATATGGAAAAGAAGCCCTCTCAAGAGAGCTTCTGCTTGGTCTCTATTACTAAAGCTAGGCCGCTTTTTGACTAAAAGCAGCTAATGATTTGTTAAGGCCCAGATCACGGACTGTCACCGCTCCTGCAGTCCTGTATTGTTAGTGTTCATCCATCCTCATTAGCCCCTTGAGTCATAATACAAAGTAACAAGAAAATTGAGTCTCCCAAAGAATTCCCTTTAACTCTGGCCTGTTTGGGTTTCACTCTTGAAGGCAAGGTTTCTCAATTTCGGCACTACTGGCATTTTGGACTGGAAAGTTCTTTGTTGGGGGTGGGGGAAATGGGAGGGAGGCTGCCCTGTGTACGACACGATGTTTAGCAAGCAGCATCCCTGGTCTCTATCCACGGGACTGTTTAACAGCAACATCCTACCTGATAAGACAACCACAAATGTCTCCAGATACCGCAAAACATCCCTTGAGGGGTAAAATGCTCTGGGTAGAGAACCACTGGTTTAAGGGTACAACTAGAAGGTGTTACTTGCCTGTGGATCTCCATGATTTCTTCAGCAATCATTCGACCTATTTTGCCTGCCCCAGCCCTGGTTCCCCCTGGAATCCCTGGAACAGTGGGGTGGGTCCTCTTTGGGCCACCTACAACAAAGGAATCTGAGAGTGGGAAAGGGCAACCAAGGAAGAAATGCTATTATGAGTTAAAACCAGTTCATCTTGTGATCCACTTGAAGTTCAACCTTCGGGTTACGGCCCAAGGGGCAACAGAGCACAGCTTGTCAGGAAAAGACATTCCAGCAGAAGGCTCAAGTCTGCATCCAGGATCAGAGACCAAAGCAAAGCATCTACTTCCCCTCCCGCACTCAACATGTTTCCTGACCATCACCGTATGCAAGCCAGGGTCACAGAGGTAAGTCAGCAGCTCTGCCCTCAAGGAGCTCACAGTCTAACAGGGAGACAGACAAGATGAACAATGGCTGGAACCAAGTGCGGTAAGCTTGACCGGTAAGCCCAAGGCACCCAACTCCTCCAGGGCCAGGGGCAGCTTCCTGGGAAAGTTTAACTCTGAGCTGAGTCTTGAGAGAGGACGAGAAATTAGCTTGGCAGAGAGGTGAGGATGGGAAGGCATTCCACCCACAGCCACCAATATACACAAGAGCACGGAGGGGGGACGAAACTTGGGAGACTACTCCAGGAGATCCCTCATGAATGAGGATGCAGGGGTAACAGATGACACCACAGGAGCTACCCATCTGATCCTGAAAGGTCTTGGGTACTGTACTAACGGATTTGGATGGGCTCCTGAGAATAAGGGGTGCCAAAGCACTTCCCACGGAAAAGGCACTTGGACTCGGTTACTGGAAAGTCCACTTCACAGAGAATGAATGACAGTGGAGAAAGGGGATTGGGTGGGGGAGTGAGACTAGGGTTAGAAAATTCTCTGCAATGATCCAGGCGAGGGAGATGGAGAAGTCTAACAGGTAGAAAGGACAGGATTTCGTGTTCAGATAGAACGGGCGAGAAGGAGGAGTCAAGGTTTCTGGCTTGAGCAACCAGAGGAGTGCAGAGACTGGGTTTGGAGATGCTGAATTTCAGGTGCTTTTGAGACTCCAGGTGGCTCTGTCCAGGAGGCAGCTGGAGAGACAGACCTAGAGCTCTGGAGACAGACCAGATGTAGGAGTCCCTGGTGGAGACGGGACTGAAGGAAGCCATGCAAGCAGAGGTGGTCCCGTGGAAGGATGAGTCAAGTGCAGAGAGCAGGGGCCGGGGCCGGGAGGGAGCCCCGCTCCGTATAGCACATAGCCCGGTGCTGACAGACACCCTCCGCCCACCACTGGAGCCAGTGACAGTCACCAGAAGGCACCACGTCCCAGTCACTGGGCAACATGGGGGAAAGCCCAAGAGGAGCAGGGAGTTTGCTGTTTCAAGGGCTTCCAGGGTCCAGGCAGCCTCAGGAAAAGCAAAAATTGAGCTCCCTGTATTCCAGGCTCAACAGAGAAATATGAGAGGACAACGTCCTTAGTGCTCATCCCCTGGAGCCTCCTTTCTTACATGGGGGCTGGGGACACTTGGGGACAGGGTACGCTGGCCAAAGCGGCTTCTCACGGGCAAGCCCCGATGCCCCTGCAGCCCATAGTTACCTTCTCCAGAGGGCAGCATGCTGTCCATGCTGTGGGGGGACGCTGTGAGCTGCGGGAAGGCTGGGTCCCCACCTTCCAGGACGTTGGCTCTGTGAACATCCCAGCAATAAGGAAACATGAGTCAGGCCTGCTCAGAACTGTGCACCTTTCACCTTGGCCAAGGTGTCCGGTGTCCACTCTGGACCTGGACAGGCCAGAAAAGGACGTGTCTGTCTGAGTGGCTCAGCGGGGCTCCTCGCCGTTTGAGGACAGGACAGGCAGCATTCCGGCCTTGGGCCGCACTGCCTGCCTGGGCCTTCCTGGTCCGTACGGGACACACGGTCCAGCAGAGAAGGGGACCCCGCGGCCCCCGCTCCGAGGCCTCCTCCCCCGCCACTCTGCAGGGGCACCTCACCCCGGCGCCCCCCCGCCACTCGGCTCCAGCCACGGGGGCTGGGTCCGGACACCACGGGGAAGGAGATGTGCGGAGCAGTTCTGGCCAAAGAGCAGGTCCTTCCCTTCTCGCCTAGCTGGGGGCCGAGCCTCTGAGGCAGGCTTCCGGCTGCCAGCACTGGGGCCACCGGCCTGGCGGGCGCGGACACCCGGCCATCTGCAGCCCGGGCTGCTCTGAATGGACCGCCAACCCTTCGTCCACGGCAGCACCAGGGGCGCGCAGGGCGCAGGGCCGCCGGGACTCGAACGCTAACTGCTGCACTGGGCAGGAAACGCTGCTGTCTCCTGGCGCAGTTCCCCAAGCCAGGGGCCTGCGCGGTCTCCGTCTGGAAGCGTGTTCTGTGTTAACACCCCTGGGGGCTTCTGCCAGCCTTGAGGCTTCAGAGGGTATCAGCAAGCTCGTGGGGAGGGCTGGGGTACTCGCTGCCGCCCGCGCCCGCGCGCGCCTTCCCAGGGAGAGAGCCCCAGGCACCTCGAGCTCGGAAGCAAGGGAGCTTCTGATCCGGGGAGAACACTTACAAAACAACAGTGTTGGTTGAGACAATGTATTCGACTTCCTTGGTCCAAGGGTTCATGAAACTGAACCATCGACTCCGCAGCGTGATGAAAGAACCATCTTTGATTTTAAACTTATAGCAGTTAGTCGTAATCTTTTCTCTCGTCTGTAAAACTGAAAATGGAAAGAAGCCATGAATATGGTTCCCGCAGGCCAACATACGAAACCAGCCAAATCCTAAGTGTGCCAGGTTCCAGAGCCACCACTGTGTCATCAGCCCGGGGCGCGGGCCCTCGGAGAACGGGTTGTTTCCGAGGGCTTCATCCAGAGCCTTTCGGTTCACGTGTGAGTCACTTGCTGTTGTTCAGTGTCTGAAACGAAGGCTACCGACATCGGACTGAGATGAGCCTTGAAGGGAGCAACAAACGTCCCGGGGGCCCGCGTCCTTTCCCCATCACAAAGCCTGATGGCGGAACAGCATTTTTAGGACCTCTGACTCCAGGGGGGTCACCCACCTAGTCAAACTTCATTCTTCCATGTCACAAACATGTAACCGGCACCTTTCACGGGCCGGGCACTGGAGAGAGAAGGGAGACAGCACGCGGCCCTGCCCTCAGGAGAGGAACGTGAGAGGCAGCCACGCAGAGGAAGAGATCAGAGCCTCGAGGCAGGAGTACAGGTGTGTGGACAGGAGGGAGGGAAGAACCCAGCAGTGCCCGGCGCGTGGCACGGCCTGGTGGGGGCAGGAAATGAGGAGATGTCCCTGATGCCTCTGCAGGCGGGGGTGGGGGGGGTGGAGGGGGTGAAGCTGAGGAGGGGGGTCAGGGTCAGGAGGTGGAAGGTCCTGAATGCTGGTCAAAGGTTTTAAAGGCAGGAAGTTTAAGGAAGGATGGGACGTTATCAAGCTTAATCCATTGGGGCGTAAACAGGACAGCTATGGAAGGTGGAAGGTGGAAGGTGGGGCAGAAGGGAGCCTGCTAGGAGTCTCTCACAATTACCGGCTGGGCCCAAGGGCCGGAACTAGGGTTGTAGTACCAGAGGCGCAAGAAGGGGCCTCTTTGGAAACGCACGTCTGAGGTGAATGAACGAGGGAAGGGCTCAGGACCGGCTCCTCTCTCGGGAGGCTGGTATGTGCCCACGCCACAAAGCAAGAGGGAAATACAGGAAGCATGGCAGGATTTTACGGAAGAGAGAATCAGATCTGTTTGAGCCATACCAAATCTTTACAGGGTCCGTGTAACAAGACAAGGGACGCTTTCCAGAAAGCGCGCTGTCCTATGTACAGGAAACTGCTAGGCAGTCCAAGGTGGGTTCACTGTGAGGGGATAAACGGGGCCCGGGAACATCAGCCTCTTCTCAGACATGTTTTGGCCTGAAGACTCCTGGCCTGGCTGACTCCCACATCATTGGGGGCAGATTTCTCTGGAACCTTTATGTGGACTAGTTTCAAAGCAGGGGGGCACCTTAAAGTTAAGACCTTTTGTACCCGCCCAGCTTACCTTGCCTATGACATTCTGCGAGATGTCCTATGTCATCTTGGTGAAAATATTCATAACATGATGTGCCTAGAAGTTCTTGTGGTAAATATGCCAAAATAGCTGTTGCCCTAGAGTTTTTTTAAAAAAGAAAGTTGTTCAGACAATTAACAGCATCTCTGCAGTGGATGAACCCCACTGCGCTGATGAGAACAAGGTCCAAGCTGGGTGGATGTATTTTTTTTGTGCAACTGAACTTAACCAACACTCTAAAAACAGAGGGAAGAGAAAGAAAAGCAGCCTCTCAAAGGGGCCGTTATCCCAAGAAAGGAGACTTAAAAATGGTAACTATAGTAGTCAGATAAAAATGTGACAGAAACCCAAACCTCAGGGCAAAGCTTCTCCATTTTATTACTTTTTTTTTTTTTTTTAAATCAAATGGCCAAACATTAGAAGCTCCAGTGGTGGGGGCCACAAGGGCCTTGAAAAGTGGCGGCATCCTTTTCCTGCATGTAGTGACTATTTCTAAGAGCCAGAAAACTTATCAGCCTGTGAATATTCTCAAGGCGGCCACAGAGAGCAAACTGGGCACATCAGGGTCCTCAGCTCAGGTCTACTACTACCACTCCGCTGTGAATGGGAGGCGGCCAGTCTTCAGGTGGGGCCCCAGGTCCTCATCCAGAAAAATGAGACTGGACTAGATCAGTGTTGCCAGCGGAGCTTTCTGCAATGGCGATGTTCTCGATCTGTGCCATTAGCCTCACAGAGCGGAAGAGTACCCGTAACATGGCTAGTGAGCCTGAGGAACTTTTAGCTTAGTTTTAACCAAGACTTGAATGGCCGTATGAGATTACCATAGCCAACGACCATTGCATTGGACAGCTCAGGACTAGATCATCTTTTCCAAGTCCTACATTCCAGAATTTTAATCACAGCCATGGTTCTGAATATTCCACGCACATTCAGACAACATCCTATGCCTACCATTTCTCTCCTGGCCATGGACATCGAACCACGACGTCACCTACTTAGCTGTCTCTACGTGCCAAAGAGTGTTAAAGAGAAAATCTCTGTATCTATGATGATATTCCGAAGGGTCTCATTTTTTAGCAGAGATCCCCATCACTTCCTTCCCTCTTTACCCTGATGGCCCAGCCTGCTCTGCTTTACTCAGACGTGAAAATCTTACACGATTAGTGTTCACGGGTAACACGCAGACTCTCACCTCTGGTCTACAAAAACAAACTTCCCGTCTATCGCGTGCCGAGACACATACTCCATAGACTTCACCCTGATTTCCCCGTTCACCGGCTGCGGAACCATGTGAGAATGCAGGCGTCCGATGGCGACAAGGCAGCTGAGGTTACAGCCCTCGTTGTCCGGTTCGCTGTCCTCGTCCAGCCCCATCTTTGTGGGCGGCCAGCTCTTCAGGTACCCTGTGCTGTGGATGGTGCAGAAGCTCTTTCGATCTGCTAGAAAGCAAAGTCCGCGGTCAGTGTCGGGCTGGGGGCAAGCAGGCTCGGCAGCCTGGGGCGGGCTGGGTTGTGGGAAGGGAGTCAAACAATAAACAAGCTTCGCTCTCCGGAAGGGAGACTCCAGAGAGAGAGGAAGGCACGGAAGTGGGCCGCTATCATCCAGCGTCATCTGTGTGGGGCTGGGCCCGTTATGCCAAGAGCGTCACATATACCAAGGAAGGAGTAGCTCCATCTACCTGGGGAGAGGAGGGCTGCCCAGGAAAACCAGGTAGGAGGTGGACCAGCTAAGGGACTAGAATGGGCGAAGGTTGAGAAGGTACAAAGCGCGGAGGCGCGTCCGGTACGAGAAACAACGGAGGGCTTGGCGTGGTTGAAGTGGAAAAGGGGGGCCTGGGAGGGGATGGACACAGAGCTGGACAGGCAAGTGGGCGCAGGTTACTGGGGTCTTAGACTATTTGCTAACAACCGTGTGTTTCTCAGACAGGGAATGGGGAGCTTCCAAAGGCACGTAAGTGGGGAAACAGCAAAAGCAAATGGTGCTTTGGACACTGCAGGAGCAGAGTGCTAGGGAAACCGGAGGGCTAAGGATCAGGAGGAAGACAGGCAGGAGCGGAGACGGCGAGAGATGGGGAGGGCTGTGCTCTGGTGCCGCAGTGAGGACGGGCAGGGGGGGAAGCACGCGGGAGAAGCTTCTGAGAACTCTTGAGATTTACTATGGATATCAGAACATTTGGTACGAAAGAAAGAAAATGAAGGGGACCCCAACTTTTTTGGAGTGCATGCTTGCTGCTCACAGACTCAGGGAAGAGAGAATAGAGAGTACGCTGCAGAGAAGAGGGAGGATTTCACTTGGGGACACACACTGTGGAACCACCTGTGGATTCTGACAATAAACACATCCTTATGGAGGGTTTATGAAGCAGCGGGTCTGTGCTGGTTACTGGGAAACCGGGAAACCCATCAGACACGCCAGCATGGAGTTTCTAGCCCCTGGGGGGAGACAGACGTCAAACAAGTAACCTGAGGGGGTGAGTGGCGGCCCCGGACGCCCAGCTCTAAAGGACCAGCTGGCTGAAGGCAGCTGGCGGGGGCCGGGGCCAGCAAGAACGGACGGAGACCTGGGGCAGAAAGGGGGGCGAGGCGTGGACAGGAAGTCGGCACAGCTGAGCACACGGAGTGGCGGGGGGTGGAGGGTGCACGGTCACGGACTCGCAGCTTCTCTCCAAGAGCAGCGGGGCACGCTGCAGGGTTTTAAACAGGGAGCCGATAGAAAGCTGTGCTTCCGAAAGATCATCCTGGCTGTTGTGTGGGGAGATGGCAAGTGTGAAGAGCCGTGGTGAGCGCGCAGGGGGGGCCGGGGTCCGAGGCGGATACACACTTCGTCACCGTAGTGGGAGACGGAGTGAACCGGGCTGGGGGTGCCTCCCCAGCTTCCAGTATGTGAACTGGGCGGCGACGGTGCCATTTACAGCGCGGAGGAGCTCGGGTGGTCACTCTTACACAGATCATGTTCGAGGAGCCCGAGGACAGCGGAGCAGGCAGACAGAAGAAGTGGGTTTATGGATCCGGAGCTCAAAAGAGAAGTCTGGGCTAGAAATCTAAACTGGGCATTCCTGGCGTATACGTGACACGGCAAGCTAAGGGAGTAGATGACATTACCTAGGGGTCAAGTGTAGATAGAAAGGTGGCTCAGGACACATGAGGAGCCAGCAAAAGGAAGTCGGAAGAGGGCCTACCATGGCAGAGGATGGGGGAGACGAGAAGAATGAGGTTTCGTGGAATCCTAGGGGAAAAAATATTTCAAGATGGAAGAAAAACGAAGTGTCCGTTGTGTCTAGCAACAGGACAGTCCTGGGTGAACCGAGCAGGGGTCATTTCGGTGGACGGGCGGGATGCTCGGCGTGGTTGGCACTGTGGCTGAGGGTACTCTTTCTCAACCACTTTAAAGCAGACCGGATTTACGTGGAGGAAGCTTTCCCACGAATCGCTGTCTGGGTGACAACCACCAGGGCTTCCCAACCTCTCCTGCTCCCCAAAGGCCCTCCCCAGTAGAGGGAGAATGGCACTGCTGAGCCCCTCAGTGCACAAAGCCAGCCTCCCCTGTATTAGGATTTTATTATTTTTTGAAAAGATTTTATTTATTTATTTGAGAGTGCAGGAGGGACAGGGAGAGAGACTCTGAGGCCGACTCCATGCTGAGCGCCAGAGCCCCACGTGGGGCTCGATCCCACGACCGCAAGCTCATGACCTGAGCTGAAACCCAGAGTCGGACGCTTCACCGACTGAGCCCCCAGGAGCCCCCCTGCCTCACTGTATTAAGACTTTAAAGAAGTGAAGTGGTTACCTTTTTTCTTTGAGCAGGTAGAGGGGAAATCCTTGTCTTCCACCTTTACTGAAGGCCTGTTACACTTCATCCTACAGAAGAAAGAACGTCGTGCTCCAGAACATAATCGAGATGGCCCAGGGGTTATATCTGTTTTAACTGGAAGTCCAGCTGCAAATCAATACACAAAATGTGATAAACTGAGAGTAGTATTGTCTGTCAGGAGGGGGAGTGTGACCTTGAAGAAAGCCTCTTCTTTCCTGCCTCACTGTTTTATAATGACCACACCATTCCTCCTCAGTTTAGGCCATAAAAGATGCAACATGGGGAAGTGGGCCATCAATCTGGAAAGGTCTCCAGATCACCTCGAATGCAGCTACTGGTAGGAGGAGCAGGACCATGATCCCATGAACACTGGGATACTGGTCTATAGACCGTGTCCGGGGATAACACGAGCCCACCGTGGGGGCGACCATCAGAGGAGGGGCCGCTGCCCAGGGCTCCTGCTGGGCGTCACCCCTCCAGCCTACCTCCCACAGCCACCCCAGGGATCGGAATGCGCACGGCCCCCCCCACCCCGCCCCTGCTCGGTTTGCTCCAGCCACAGAGCGGGCGCGACACCTGTGTGTCCATCCAGAAATCGCTTTCCCTGCTCTGTTCGTCTCTTCACCGCCTGGCACACAGTAGTCATCCTTTCAAACGCACCTCAGCTGTCACCTACTCGGTGATGCCTGTCCTCGCGCCCACACGAGAACAAGTCGTCTGTTCTCTGTGCCTGGTACTATCTCTATTGCAGTACCTAGTATGCGGGGTGCTGTCTCCTGGTCTCCCTGACTATATGGTGAGAGCCTTAAAGGCAAGGACCAAACGTCACCTTCTTTTTCTCCTCACGTCACTACCAAAAACTGCCAGGGCCAGACTATAAAAGGCAACAGGTACCAGGGGCCGTGTTGAACTTTTAGGAACTTAATGAAAATATCACAATACTGCCAATCGTGCCTACTGTGTGCCAGGAACTGCCCCACGGGCTTCATGTATATTAATATATTTAATCCCCGTAACTACCCAATGAGACAGGTACTGTTTTGCAGATAAGGAAACGGAGGCACAGAGAGGTTAGGTAACTTGCTCAAGGTCACACAGCTGGAAAAATCAGGGAACCAGGAAGTGGTTGCCAGGAACCTGGCAATCTGACTCCAGACTCCACCACATTCTTAACTGCTGCAGCCACAGGACTGATGGGAGGAGGGCTACAGGGCCTCACTCAGGAGACATTGGGGGTGGGGGGGGGGATGTGAACGGTGGTTCCGCTGCTAAAGAAGGAAGCCAGGAGCGGGAGCCGACTAACGAGGAACCACCTTGGCCAAAGAAACTTTTATGTTTCATGTTTTCTTACTTTTACCTTAGGAGGCTGCATGTGTGTAACTCAGGTAAACCGAGGGAATTTTTTTCGGGGGGAACCAATCAAACTGGCGTGAGCCCTTGAAACTCAGGAGCATACAAGTGGGAAGTTCTAGATTCTGGGGGGGGGGGGCGGCGGGGGGAAGACTGAAAGCCAGAAAGAATCAAAGTAGCTGTTTTTCCTCTCAGTGGATTTGGACATTGAGTTGTTGCTTCTTTATGTGAAACAAAACAAACAAATAGGGAGGAAGGTGGAGGACTGCCTTGAGCCAAAGAGAGCACCTGTGACCCGGATAAAGGGCAGAGAGGAGGGGGGCCAGAGGCCAAGCGTGGGGGCCACAAGCGGCTGTCTTCGCTCGCGGTCAGAGGGAGCCCCGAGGATGCAGCTGCAGCCTTCTCCTGGACTCACTTTTTGCATCTATGAGCCGCTCCCGGGGCGCCGTGTCTGAGGACGAGAGCTGTTCCTTCACTTTGGCGATGTCTTTAGGGTGCAGGTAGTCAAACAAACTCTGACCGATCAGATCATTCTGCGGGGATGAAGCACGGAAACGAGTCAACGGCACGTGGAACAGAACTTACCCAACAGGTGCTTTGCCTTTGTCTTTCTAAGCAGGAGAATTTCAAAGATTTCCCATGTGAACATGTACACCTGTCCAATCACTCTGCCTAGATAGAGACACAGGGAACGAGGCATTGGGAGTTTGGTTTTGGTAACACACGAGGGGAAAAGGGCTTAATTATATGGATACTTCTATAAATAGTTCATGCTCCCCGAAGGCAGGAATCTTTCAACTGCACACGTTCCCTTTGATTGATTTCTGATGCCCACGAAAGCCCTTCTAGGGACACAGGGCGTGGGTGCAGACTCTAGCCCGAGTCTCCGTGCTCTTCAGCCGCGACCACCTTCATAACTTTGCTCGAAGACCAAGAAGAGCAAGACACTGTGGACACATTCAACTTACATCCCTTCAAATGTATACACATGTTTTTTTTGATTCTTCTATTCTGCTGCCTTACCAACTTCCCGTGCAAACACCAGCAGGTGAAGGAGTGAGTGAATGAATGGATGAGTAAAAACGCTGGGGACAGAGTAAGTGAAAAACTCTGCTCTAGAAGCTTTTGGGAATGTTTATCTTATTTGATCCTATGAACAATCATAAAAGGTAGGGGTTATTAGGGTCTTTTTTTTTTTTTTTTTTTTAGAGGAAGCCAAGGTTCAACAGAATTAAAAAGAGATACATCATCACAAACAAAGTATCGGTGGATTCCCAATTGTTTTATTCTCCGGTATTCTATTACCTGCCTTTCCTTGTTAGAGAGCCCCTTGCCTCCAGCCTCCCACCCCCCTTCAGTTGTGGCATAGTCATTGGGTGGCAATAAGAAAGTATAAAGCTGCTGATGAGATCACAGTTAAACCTTCCTGTGAGGGAAACGTGGAACATGTGCAAAAGTCTTTTTTCTAGGGGCCCCTGGGGGGGCTCAGTCGATTAAGTGTCCAACACTTGATTTTAGCTCAGGTCATGATCTCCAGGTCGTGAGATCGAGCCCTCCATCGGGCTCTGCACTGAATGCAGGGTCTGCTTAAGATTCTCTTTCCCTCTGCCCCTCCCCACCATGCACGCATGCACACGTGCTCTCTCTCTCTCTCTCAAAAATAAATGAATCTTGGGCGCCTGGGTGGCTCAGTCGGTTAAGCGACTGCCTTCGGCTCAGGTCATGATCCTGGAGTCCCGGGATCGAGTCCCACATCGGGCTCCCTGCTCAGCAGGGGGTCTGCTTCTCCCTCTGCCCTCTTCCCTCTTGTGCTCTCTGTCTCTCATTCCCTCTCTCTCAAATAAATAAATAAATAAAATCTTTAAAAAAATAAATAAAAAAATAAATGAATCTTTAAAAAAAAAAGATTTTTTTTTTTCTAGGTTTAAATTCATTTCTCTGTTAAGAAATGACAAATTTTCTGGAAGAAGCACTGGGTGTGTGTGGGCGGACGATACAAGCATCTTCCATGTGACTTGTATATCATAATCATTCTAAAACGTGGGGTGACCTTTCCGGCTGCTGTGAGGCTGCCCACCACCAGCCCGACAGGAGTCATACCTGACTGTAGTTGAGGATCTTGAAGACAGACTCGGAGACAAAGAGGATCTTCCCTCGGTCACATCCTACGACAAACAAAAATCCATCTGCTGCCTAATCAGGAGAAATGGATAATCAATTTATCACACTTTAGGAAACACGATTTGTAATCACTCTGATAGCAAATAAGGACTTGTCTGCTAAGTATCCAAAGCAGAGAACTGTCCTCATTGACAGTCACAGGATGCTCACAACTAACACATCAGGAGAGGAGGAAGATGCTCTCCAGGGCAGGTCCGGACACACAGATCATCTAATGATTATAGGGGACGGTCCAACTGAAGTAACTTCTGTTACAACAGTGAATTCACTTTAAGACTTTTCCTTTGAGGGTATCAAGGTCCGGAGAAGTCCTATTTTATTGCTTTAATTATAACTATGTAGAATCATAGAATCTGAGATTGAAAGGAACCTTTAAGATCAAAACGCCCTCTCCTGTATCCTGACCACCATCTGTCCTCAACGTGAACACTTCCGTGTACAGAGCACGCTCTCGAACAGTGCTTCTCAACCTGGGGAGTGGTGTGTTGTCTGTTGTTGTTTTTATGCTCATGGTCTGGGTGGGGCTGGATCAGGAGTCTTGTTCTCACCCCTACTCCAAATGATTCTCATGTACAAGGACTGAGAACTACTGTTCTTGACTATCATTTCTTGATCCAGGGCTGGGCTGCTTATATCCTAAGGGAGACAAGAAAAGCAAAGCAAAAATTTCCCCTACATTCTTCTTCCCTCTTCTTCACCTTAAGTACAGATAAAAATCTAAAGTCCCGGGACAGGCGGCTATCGAGGCCGGACGCCATTAGGCTGAAGCGGATAAGCACTGGAGCTGTGGCGCCTGAGACACTAGGCTCCGTGGTGTGTGTGTGAAAGCTGCCCACGGCTCTGCAGAAGGCCAGCCACTTGGCCCCTGCTGGGGGCTCCCAGTGACGGGGAGGGGGCTCCACACTCAGTCACGTACTTGCATTCATGCTCCGCTCCCACAGTTCTAATTCAACAGCTTGCTTTATTTGCCAGTCCTCGGTGTCTTCTGGGGAAAAATCTAGAGGAACTCTATTCCCCTTTCCACAAAAGGGCCTTGGGGGATGTAATATAATTCAAAGAAGTAGGAAACGAGCTAATGTGCCGGAGGAAAATCACGGCACACGCACCAGTACGGCCTTGACGGCGGCAGCAGGGACCGAACCACCGCCCCTGGGACTGCGCCTGGCCCCTCGGCCGGAAGGGAGCTGGGGCTGAGCTCTTCCTAAGCTAGCACAGGGGCGGGGGAGGACAGTGGAGAAGAAGAGACTTTCCAAGCACCATCTGCTGGAAGCCTCATCCAGTCAAGAGCTAGGGTATTAATAACTTGCAGGCAACCTCCCATCTCACAGGAGAAGTGTCTTGAGGCTTTTCACAGATGAAGTGAAGTGGCCCAGAAGGGGCCTCGGAAGAAGCTGCCCATGACATCCCGGAGGGAATGCTGGGCAGAGTTGGGCCTGAACCCGTGACATCAACAAAGTGGGTCTCAACACGTCCAGGGAGAGTGAGAGGGCTCCAAAGGCCAGTGAATCGCCAGTGAGGAGAGGCTCAACACGTTCTGACTCAGTTTCCCTCGAGCAGATAAACACCACCAGGTGCAGGAGCTGGGCCCAGGGCACAGCAGATGAGCAGAGACTAAGAGAATGCCAACAGCACCACGGGGCCACATGGAGACAGGACAGGCTCCCTCTTGGGGGAGGACAGGCTTAGTAAGGGACACAGAAGCCCTGGTGGGGTCTGCCTAGCTTTCAGAAAATGGGGAGGTGGAGTACCCAGCCATCATCCACTGATCAGGCTGACTGCTCCCTGACACACCATCATGGAAGCCATTTGGAAAGCTCTCAGTAGAGAAAGTGGTCCGTCAGACGCGCACTGGGAAGGGAACGCAAAAGTCCAGTTCCCGCGGCCGAACCGCTCAAACACCGTCTGAGCAGACCCTGCCTTCTGTTGAAGCAAATTCCTGGAAACTGGGCAGCTGGAAGTGGCGAGGGATTGGACCGTGCTTCGTCACCACGGACGCACGCCAGGGAGGGCAGAAGAGTTTCATCAGGAGAGAGACATCACCACTGTGTCCTACAGATGCTGGAGGACATGGAAGGGCAGGAAAGGCAAGCCCAAGATGAGGTATTTAGCTTCAATGGCAATGAAAATCCTTGTGCCATACCCTGACAAGTGTGGGCATCAGACAGGAAATTTAGAAAGAGAGAAAATTATTGAGCATTTGCCATTACAAAAGAAGTTTATATATATTATATGTAAATATATATAAACATATAAACCTGTTATATATAATAGGAACTTCATAAAACACATTTGTGGAGCACCTAGGTGGCTCAGTCGTTAAGCATCTGCCTTCGGCTCAGGTCATGATCCCAGATCCTGGGATCGAGCCCTGCACCGGGCTCCCTGCTCTGCGGGAAGCCTGCTTCTCCCTCTCCCTGCTGCCCTCCCTGCTTGTGCTCACCCTCTCGCTCTCTCTCTGACAAATAAAATTTTTAAAAAACAAAAAAACCCATCAAATTAGCAGTATGGCAATCAGGACAAACCACAGGATTTGTGGGGCCCAGGACATAATGGAAAAAATGCAGAGACCCTTGTTCAAACATGCTGCCCTTCCAGACGGCAAGAGCAGAGCATTAAACTCCCCGTGTGGCCGCAGAGGCCGCCACCCATAAAGCCAGCCCTGGTGGTTTCTCCAGAGATGCTGCAGACACAGTCTATCTTAACTTCAGCAAGTCGTCCCTGAGAACAGGGACAGTTTTATGAAGGAGGATGGAGAGAGGAGTGCGGAGCTGTGCCCTGAGGGAGGCAGCCCAAGGACCATCACAAACTTGCTGGGACACCCGGCCCCCCCACAACGTGTTTATTGTTGACTTGGATGTACCTAGAACAGTGCCACGCACACAGAACTAAGTCTCAGAAATATCTGTGTGGCACTAGTGAACGAAAGACCTCGAAGGTATGCCTATCAGCTGTACCAGTCACAAGAAGCCTCGAAGGATCACTAACGACAAACTGGAATGTAAGACCATCCAATAAATAGATTTTGACAGAAACAGAAGTTCAAAAAAACGAACCGCACCAATACAGGATGGAAAAAACTTGGCCTCACAATAATCCCTAAGAGAGTGGGAGGGACGGTATCACAGTGGTCCAAAACGTGGCACTAATATGATGGCTTCTACGGCAAGGAAGGAGCCAGGCCCTTTCAACCCCAGGCCAACCAGACCACAGCTGAAGTTCTGCACTGGGTCCTGAGAGCCACTTCTGAAGGAAAATCTAGCAAATGGATGTGGCTCGGGAAAGTGTGTGTGGCCAGTGCTGATGGGGGACTCTTGCCTGCCTCGACTGTGGAGGCTGGAAAAATCTAAATCCTTGCCCTGAAGCGAGTGGTCATCAATTGACACCTTCCGGAGGAGCTGACGTCTACTACTGGGCTTTTAGGAAGGCATATCCTTTCTTGAGAAAAGGGACAGCTGGCCCAGACCCTCCCCTGCCCCTTGCTTCTGGCTGGTGTGGCTACACCGAGGAAGCCGGCTGCACACGAGCTCGGCACGACTGTTCGCGAAGACAGACAGGGCCTGGTTCCGGCCACCCTCACTGAGCCACCACACCAACCCCTCCCGGCCTACCGCAGGACGGGCTGTATTTGGGAAACAAAACCCTGTCTGTTCATCAGGTCATCTGTTCCTTGCAGCTGAAAGCTTTCCAGTTGAGAGAACACATCAGGAGGGGATGGACAGAGAATGCTGGAGTGAGCACACAGGCCAGACTTAGAGGACCGGAAGTCAGGCAGAGCGGAAAGTCAGGGTGATGACAGAGTGGCCTGGGGCTTGAGGCCTGGCAAATGTCTGCTGAAAGCAAGGTGCCCAGATGCCGTAGGGGCTTGGCAAGCGACGTCCACCCTGGCTGTGGGGGGACGGAGGCGGGTGACATTTTTCTGTTTTTCTGTTTACAACTGGCCAGAGGACAGGCTTCTGAATCCCGTTTCTTTCCCTTCAATTTCCAAGTTGGTCTCGCTCCACCCGGAGGCAGACCTGATGCCACGTGGAAGCCAAGTTCTTGCGGCGCCACCTCTCCACAGAGACGAGCAAGACAAGCGAGCGCGCCGGTCCAGAGGGGAGAGCCTCACCGCCCCCATTTCTTTTCTCCCTTGGGCAGAGGGGTCTTTGGAAGCTTTCTTGCTTTGATGGGATTTTAGTGTCAAGATGGACGCGGATGTTTTTGTGCTAGCGGTTAGGTGAGGAGAAGACAAATTCTCCGTTGTTATCAGTGCCCGTCCCTTTCTAAAACCTTCATGCAGGAATGGGGCTCTTAACTACCTATGTGTACAAAATCCTGCCTCCTTCCATTTAAAAATCACGGTAGCCTGGGCCTTCGATTTTTGTCTAAGCAGGAGTGGAAGGACTGTGGAGACTGTCCAGACAGACAGATGTGGAGACCCGAAAAGACGAAGTCAGCCTCAAAAGGTCCAATGTTTAGACATCAAATTCCCACACTCTGGTACCTCACTCTGAAATTTGTAAGCGTTTATAAGACAAGCTCATAATTGTGACATACCCTGAGAATGAGGTGTTTCAATTCATCATCTGACAGAAAAGTTGGTTTGTAGTTTGCTTCTGTGTATGGGTTGGTGGCACCTGAGGGAGAAAAAAAAAGAGAGTTGGTACACTTTCTATTCAGGGAATGGCTCACACCACTTCACTGCCTCCGACCTTCCAGATGTCGGCCTCGTCTCTACCACCTGGGACGTCAATGTTCTCTTCTTTTTCCTTAACAGACACAGGGCTAGGTCGGGCTCCGGACAGAATCCATTGAAAAGACAACACTGCTGCCCACAGGGGACCTAACAGGTTTGCTCTGGTCACTGTAGGGGAGCCAAGAGGTCATAGATGGAAGTAAAAATCTGCTTCAAAGAGAGAAGGCAGCTTTGGAAGTCAACCAGCAGAGGCTCCTGGGAGGGTCCCCTCCTCCCAGGGCCGACATTAAGTGCGTTGTCTAGCAGTCCCTCAAATGGCCACGCTGAGCCTTCCTGGGAAATCACCCAGGCGGCCAGGCTCTGAGTAAATAAATATACTGTAGAAGGCATTTAGTGGGAGTGCTTCTTCATCGGAGTGAGGTAAAGGAGCTTGGCAACCCAGAGAAATGCATTACTCCAGTGAATACAACTCTGGCTCCTCGGGCTGAAAGGGGACAAGATGCTTAAAAGGCCATCCGTCTGGCACCATAGAGAGAACATCGTACGGGAGAACACCGTATAGTAACAGAGAAAAATGCCAGCAGCAATGACCTTGGAATCTGCAAAAACAGTTAGAACGGTGAAGAAATAAAATGGAAAAGATCTGTAGCAATTCCCAGTACCACGGTGAAGGGGGAGGTTGACAGAATGTGTCTGGCTTTCATACCAGCTAACAAGGCACACACTGAGCCAGATCCCTGCTTTTTATGTAACTCGAGATTTGTCCCTCGTTTCCTTCCAATTTAATAAAAATTAGCTTATAATAATTTAAGCCCCACAATCTTCCCTAATAGGAATGTTTAGATGCCACCCTCACAGCACAGGACATGATGCTGACGTGTCTGAACAGTGATCAAAAGGCAGACGGAACCGGCTACTCCTTTCTGGCGGCTTTGTGGAAACATAAAGACGCAATTCTTTTACCACGCAGGTCAGAGGTCTGACTGAGCGCCCACTTTCCAATTTCCTCAAAGGGTCCAAGACAGGCCATGGAACATGCCAGGCCCAGCGTTCACTAAAGTGCCTGCGACACTGCAGGTTTCTCCTGTGGTTTGGATAAGTTGTTCCACGTTTCTGCCTCTGTGTTCTCACCCGCCCCACACTCAGAAAAGAAGGAAAATACTGCCTCCCTCATAGAGAGTCTATCTGGTTTGGGAAAATTCCAGGAACATGAAAATATCATCAGTGTTCATCCCTGACAGTAAAACGCAGCAAGAACCATCAACCAGTGACTCACTCTTTAAAGGAGCCGCGGTGAATTTTCCCCTTAAAAACAGCAACGGACTTCTCTGCGTCACCAAGGGCACCTGCATTTCTGATGGTGATCACTGGGCGGGTGGGGCCCAGCGCGCACACACAGGCAAGATGTGGGTCCTCTCTGACATGCACGTAGCCTGCCTACCACATACACGTGCAGACGCGTGTGCAGACCACAGCCTCTACCGCCCGGGGATGTAGGCATGCAAAATCCCAAATGGACACCCACATAAGCTCAGGAATCACTTCATTTGGCATCAGGTCTACTGCTGGGAAGGACCGTTACTCAAGGCTACACATTGGCAAATAATACACACGGTCCTGGGGACTCAGGCACACCCTAGGCAAGGGAGGGGACGTTTGTGGGCAAGGGCATCAAGAACAGTAACGCCCGCGGTCTTACCTCGTAGTGTTTTCATGTGCTGAACGGCCATCCTCAGCACAGTAAGTTTATCTAATTTCCTGGACATGGCGTTGCACGTGGGCACCAAAGAAGCCAATTCATCGATGAAGCTGTTCATTTTATCCCGACGCCTCTTTTCAATCTGACTGTGAGCTTCCCTGCACAACAACAGGAAAAATGATTTCTAGAAAATGAAGTCGAGCCTCAAGGAGACAATGACAAAAATAAGTTATCACGGCTTCTGACATTCCCCCGACAGGGCACGTTTAGAATCTGCACAAGGCTTGGAACTCGACTTTTCTACTAAAGGCACCAAAAAAAGTGGCCTCACTGAGCGGGGTCAGTATTGTTTGTACGCTTACCTCATACTTAGAATTAAGAAGAAATATTACAAAAACTGTCTGCTCAGAGTAAACTGGATTGGTAATTTCTCCTTTCTTTTCCTCTCAACCTCTGTAAAGTTGGAATTTAAGATGGGCATGGAAGGAAGGAGAAGGGAGGTGGAGTCTACAAAGAGCAAAGCATCCAGAATGTCCATGGGGGGGGTAGGGGGGGTTCCTGTAGTCCCGCAGAGATCTCTGAGGTTTGTGAAGAGCCCGCTGTGTGGCCTGTCAGAGACTCCCCGACTGAGTCCCTAGGTAACTAGCGCTGCCATCTTTGGATCAACCATGACTCCACCAGGACACAGCAGATGCTCCATCTGTCCCCAAAAGCTTCCTCTGAAGAGTGTCACGCTCTTCCCTCCCCGGAGTGGCTGCCCATCAAGGCAGGAGGATGCGTCCACAGGTACACATGCTCTCCCTGACTGGTTTGCACCTGCCCTTTGTGAT